AAAACCTAGGCTCCTACTAAGTTACAGTACGATTGTGATTTACTAAGTTAGTTTATTATAGAGGGTTTATTGATTCAACAAGATTCTCAAACTTTTGATTTAAGTTAGCCTGGGATATGTTTGACAAGTTACCGTACCGGTAATCATTTAGTTGATAGCTCAGAAATAGCTTAAGTTGTAATTGCTAAGATTTAACAAAGGCTTAAACTACCAAGGGAAATAAGTTAAAAATACTTCTTTAAATTGAACAAAACACTATAAAAAAATGTAGTCTTTCCACCCAGCTTACTTTAAAAATATCTAAACCTACCGACAGATACACTCATTTGTATACTGAGCTGTTCTTTAAAAATAGATTTATAAAATTAGCTGACAAAAGTGAATCCATCAGTGCATAATCAGGTCACATCTGTTACTGCGTAAAACATTGATTTGGCCTGTATAATTGACCCATTTACGCTAGGCTACTGTTTATTATGCTAATGATTCTGGTGAGGTTGGAGAATAATTGTAACCAGAAATTTAGACTTAAGGGTGCGCTCTACCCCTGACGCTCAACCGAATGCAAGGGTTTGCAAGATTACTGTTTTCACCTGCTACATTGAAGGTAGAATCAAAGTTAAGGTCTCATATTAAAGAGGATGAAATTTTCTATAGTTCTGCGTTTCATTAGCCTATTTCATTTATTTTTGATACACACCTTATAAACTTGTGATTTGTAGAACAAGAAAACAGGTCTTTTCAACTAGCCCTAACTTATTGAAAAAACCATTATTTGAAAATTTGATAAACGCAGAACTATAGATTGGTATTTCCACTACTATAAACCGTTTAGTTAATTCGTAAGTGCGTAGCTATCATTATTGGTTAATTCGAAAACAGTAATCTTGGAAACCTCTGCAAGCGCTTCTCGCGGCACTGTCCAATGGTGCAACATAGCAACTGAAGCCCGAGCTGAGATTTCCGAGCTGAGGTAGAGCGCACCCTTAATCGAACCTAATTACCGTGTAAAACTGAAACAAATATAAATAGGTATGTTTAATTTGCTTACAACTCTCTAGGTGATGTAGGGCCTACCGTGTAACATAAGGTAGAGCAGTTAATTGGAAACTGTAAAATATATCACCAAAACATTTATGGTGCGAGCGGCTAGTTAAGTTAGTTACTTATGAATTAGAGATGTGAGGTGAAAACCCAGTGTGCAGGAAATTTGTTTAAATTATTATATTTTGCTGATAGGCTATAGCCTACACATTTTTTATATAAACTGAACATTTTCCAAAATTTATTATTTGAGAAAATGATTTATTAAGGTAGGCTAGGTAGTTAAGATAAAATAAATTTCAGCAATTAAGTTTGATACAGAGATTGAGTCATGGTTCAAGATCCATGATGGCTCCTATTTAATCGGCTGTAAACAATAAATAAATAAAATTGTAATTACCGCTCATATTAAAGCTACCGGTAGCAGCTTAGTGGATATTGTGCTTGCCTGGTAATCAGTAGGTTGTCAGTTCAATCCTGAGAGTTGTTTGTAACTTTTTGACGGCATGAAACTCGGCCCAGCTGTCCTTGACAATAAATGAGTCTAGCTAAGAAACAGCTGATCTTGGTCAGTAACAAAGCTACACCAGGCATCTCATTCTACACTTATTGCTATTTTATTATGGTTAAAATCCAAAGCTTTTGTCTCCATATTTTTGATGACATCAATGAATCATAATTATAGTGTGAATAGCTTGGTTGTTTAAATGATGTTGTTCTCCCAAACGTAGAAGTTCTTGTATTTTGTGTGTTGGAAACACAATAAGCCTTTAGTGTGAGGTTGACAGTAAACTTTTCCTTATCAGTTGGACATGTTCAGTGATGCATGAGGTTTGGCGATATAACTTATGTACTCGATGGCCTTGGTACTCTCCTGTTAATGTAACTTGCGATATGTTTGAGGAATATTCAATCCAAGGTGAATTGCGCAACCATATAATCTGACATGGCTCATCGCCAGTCATCGCTAAGTTACTCTTTATTCTACATTTTATCTTTCTTACTTCCATTTTTTGCTTTAATTCAACGTCTTTACAAGTTTTTTTCTGCTAGTCTTGACTTGAACTAGGCCTATTAATTAAACGTAGGAAACAGATAGGCCTAGTAAAAATTCTTTTATAGTTGATCTATCCTTAGACACACTCGACACACTACACACCTTCAATTAGGCTTGACAGCCAGGATTCAGAAAAGCTGATTTGAGGAACTGAACTGACATTCCCATACCAACTCAAATGTCTGACTTGAACCCACAAAACAAACTGTTGCATAAAAACGGTTGATTTTTTTGTCTGTTCTTCTTGTTGAACAACAAGATTAAATAATAAGCAGAACTAAACACGTGTAAAATCTTTATTGATTTAGGGTACATTAAATAAGCTCTGATAAAATCAACCATTTGTCTGCACTAAAAAACTTAGTGACAAGAACAGTTCTAAGTACTTAATCACAACTTAGTTAATTATATTAAATTTCTTTTTCTATTTTTCATTTATATCCTTCATTTACAAATTAGGACGTTGGGATCCAGCCCAGAACCGTGTTTCATGAAAAAGCTAAAAACCATTAGCGGGTGATTAGACAGTTTTGAACCGGGGACCCCAGCCCCGAGCTCTACTACTAGCCCAGCTTGCTCCTTGACAAGTGAAACCATTGACTGTAGTAAAAAAGTTTATCCTAAAACTGAATATTATGTACATTAACTGATAACAAATTTAATCATAAATCCACAAAGGCTTTGCAACTTGCGAGACCACCAGATATTTCAGCATCACAAATAATTCAATGCTCTGTGTACCTATATTACAGAAAAAAAAGACAAGAAGGACGTCTGGTATAAGGATGAGCATCGATAGGTCAACCATCGATGTACTGATACCGATATCATCGTCGTGAAAACATTGATGTTTTCAGGGCTAAAACATTGATGTAAAGAGTCCTTGGAGGCTAGCAGCTATCCTCGATCATTTCAAACAGCTGCTGAAGAGTTATTAATCATCCAGAAATATTATTCATCATCCAGAAATATTTTATCAAGCACCAAAGTGGTTATAATTTTAATATCTAGTGCACTGTGTGATTAGAAATTTCCTTTTTAGTTTTTCAATTATTTTATGAGAGAATGTCTAGGCTCCAAGGACTTGATCGATGTTTTTTTTTTTTTCAGTTATATTTTTTCTGCTCTCTGTATTGCAACAACCAATTAGGCCTAACCCAAAACTAATACAATTCAGTCATGGATGGTCGACGAAAACGTCGGTAATCTACCATCGATGTAAAAAAGCGGAGAACTTAGATTAGCTAGCCCCAGAAGTAATGTGAAGCAGATACAGTGTGGTTGGAGGCCATGTTGTGGTTTGGCCGAGAGTTTGTGAAACCTCCGAACCTTCCGATATCACATTGCTGCATTCTCTTGTGTTCTCTATCAACCTTGTTTGTAGGTTTCAACCTACATGTTTCAGTTAAACTAACATTAATTAGTGGTTTATAGGCTACTGAAAGGATTTCTCACTTCAATTTACTGTTAGCTGTTCAGCTTATCTGTATTAGGGCCACCTACAATCCTACATAGAAGTGTTTTTTTTTGTTTTTTTTTTATAAGTTTCAGCCTACTTAAACTTAAAACATCCATTTAATGGAGTAAAGCATAGTAGTAGGAAATACTCTTAATATTGTTCTTGGCATGTTTGTTTGGTATTGGAAGAATATTTTTCAGATTTTATGCTACCTTAAACATTCACATTATTTTATTATTTTCATGTAAATAAAGCAATTAAAGGGATAAAATAAATTTAAAATCGTGAAATTTGTAGGTAAAACAGTACTGTAGGTACAGTACATTTATAGTTAGTATGGTACCATATTACCGACTAAACCACATTTGCACACTAAGTGCAACTTCTTTTATAAATATACTGCCCAAATTTCAGAAAACAAACTGTCAATCTCCCCAGTAAGATAACATATAGCACAGAATCTTATAAAATGGTTTATATTACCTGTCCGTCAGTGATCCTATTGTTGTCATCTTAGGCGACCGGTTTCAGGATAAAAATCCCATCATCAGGCTGTCAAAAATGTCATGTCACTCAAATTGAGGTCGTCGGTAAACATATAAACACACACGTACAACACGAAACACGAAAATACGGATTAACATTGCTAGCTACTGGCCAGTACAGGACACTACGACGCGGCACGGGTAGTTGCGTGGTCATGACTCTCACGCAACTACCCGTGCCGCGTCGTAGTGTCCTGTACTGGCCAGTAGCTAGCAATGTTAATCCGTATTTTCGTGTTTCGTGTTGTACGTGTGTGTTTATATGTTTACCGACGACCTCAATTTGAGTGACATGACATTTTTGACAGCCTGATGATGGGATTTTTATCCTGAAACCGGTCGCCTAAGACGACAACAATAGGATCACTGACGGACAGGTAATATAAACCATTTTATTCTATAAGTGATCCTGGGCCACTAAGCATAATGAAGATAGAATCTTATGTAGGTATCCTCTATGCAAGGTTATGGTGTAACCAGTAGGTAGCTTAACACTTAGTTACCTATATTTTATTCATTCCGGATAATGTAGGATAGGACACATTTTATTTCTATTTGGTTATCATTTGATACTTCTTCAGGTTTTTCTCACTCTCCTAACAGACATTTCATTGTTATATATTTTAACGAAGTAGTGTAACAAATTTAAGTTTTTTTTTAAATTTATCTACAATTACTTTCTCTAAATAACTTTCAACTTTTGTCACCTTTGAAAATCTCAGCCCTGTTTACTTGGACATTAAAGCGTAAATCATTCAACTAATTGACCAATTATTGTCGTATTGCTAATGGCGCCATTAGCATAGAAAAGAGCTACTAATAGAATATTCCAAGCAGTGTGCGTTGCGTTGTGTTTAACATACTAGAGCCAGCTGATGAGTGTTGTGTGTTTCAGGAAGGATGAAGGTCTAGAAAGCCTAGCAGTCAAGCCTATAACGCAATTCCCCGTCTCACTCGATGATGAGGTAAATCCCATGTGTTGTTTGGTTGATAATGATAGAACCATTTTAAATTTGTTTTTAGTCATTGTGTTTGGACAATGATAGTTAGATTTTTAATTTTACCTTTTAATGTTTATGTAATAAGAATAAGCCTGGCAGATTTTTTGAATAGTAGTTGTAGGCCAATGTAGCCTATTTTGATTTTTTTAATTGTTCCCGAAAAATAGTTGCAAATTGCTTTAAAAAATTCATAATGTGGTAGAACATATAGGTAGGCACTAAATGAGAGGTTTTAAGATGTAATGGATGTACACTGATGTCTATCCCATGCTATAATGGAATTAAGTAGCGGTTTTGAATTTTGCCTTATAATGTTGTTTTTGTGATAAGCTCAACAGATATATTTATTTTATCTTAAGTTTTGTATTTTGAATTGTACTGGATTTTATAAGAAGAACGTTAGGAAATTTGTTTGTTTAAAGTGATGATTTCATTGTAAAGGACGTTTACTGTTTACAGAAGTAAACCAAACTGATTTTTAATATAAAGGCATTCTATGTTACAGTCTTTGCAAGGTAAAACGGTTAAAAAATGGAACATTTTGTATCAAATTAGAAGCAGTACTAGTAAAGAAACATAGTTTTTTTCTATATAAGTCACATATTTTGCTTAAAATGTGTGACAATACCTGCATATAGTAATCCTTTGTTGCTGTTTTGGCAACTAGTTTAGCTTCTTCTGAACCATTAACAGGCCTCAAGGTGTCAGGTAATCACTTCATTCGAAGGTCGTTAACAAACAGATTTCAATAAATAAAACATATACAACACACGATAACATAGAACGGAGACACGTTTACAAAAAACACAAAACACACAAAGGGACAATGACAAAATCGAACATAGATTAATCGTAGAATAGACAGAGAAATACTCTCTCAAATTAACTTAATTGCTTAGCTTAATTAACTTATTGTTTATGAAATTGAAGAACCTCAACCTGTTGTTATAGATAACCTACACATTTAATATAGTATTAAATCATTAATGGTAAAAGGTCACTAAGAAATCTATGATTTTTAAGGGTACTGGTAGACATGTTACCCGCTTTAGACAATAGACATAAACATCAGCATTTTTCTTTATTTTGGTTGCTGGCAGTAATTTTTACAATAATATATTGGCTATAATATAACATTTTGTTATAATGACACTTAATTCAACTATACTTAATCGTAAAAAACTCAGTAAACGTTGGGTTTGGAAAAAAATGGAGATGACCAAAAATAGGTAGTTTTACATTTGTTATTGGAAGACTTTTTCTTTATCTCTAATAACAAAGTAAAGCAGCTATAGGCAAAACCTCAGAAATATGCCGCCATTTTCCAAGATGATGGCCGTAGCACAGCTTCAATTTTAGCATGGTTAAAATTATGGTGTAGGCTATACAAAAGAAAATGGTAATTTACAATGACCGCTCTACTAGTGTCTCAGTAATTTTTGAAAAAAAGGCAGGAAGGAATTAAGGCATTTCTCTTTGTTCCTCAATATACAGTTGAACCCCGGTTAACCGAAATAAAGGGGAGAGAACCGTTTCGAAAAACCAATTTTTCGGTTAACCCATCATATGCTAAAAATAGCCAATGTATCACCACAGTATGTAGAAAAAATTAATTTAAGAGAATGTCTAGGTATATAATTCAGTGTTTTATTTCAGCTACAAAAATGTTACAATGGGATAGAAAATACTTTAAACCATACAAATGAAGTTATTAAAGCATTTTACAGCCCTATTTTATTTTATAGAACCATTTTGGTTAACCTGGGTTTCGGTTAACATAAATTCCGTTAACAGGGGTTCTACTGTAATTGTTACATCAGTAATTGGAAATTATTATGTTGTTTATTCTGGGTAAAGATCCATAAGTAAGTTTTATTATTAACCTGTTGGCATTAAAACTACTTTCGGTTTGGCTGCAGATAAAGTTTTGTGTCAGTAAAAAGTAAAAGTAAGTTAGCCACAAATCTAACCAGCCACTTTTCTTGGTTCATAATTTTTCCACTAATTTAGCCAGGAGTTTTTCGATTTCATTAAGTTTTCACAAATATAATCAGCCACTTTTCTGTTGTAGACGCCCGAGCAGAGATACGCCAACTTCAAAGGTCTTCGAACAGTTAACATCAAGAAGGTAAGATGAGCGTTCGGCCGCAGTAGAATCTTTTACATCTTTTCTTTTTGTGTTTTTAGATATTATTTTATGTTTGAGTATAAGGTAGTTCCACAAATGCCTTTAAAATGTTTATGCAATAAATTCCAATTATCCTGTCGCTGGTGTAAATTCTTTCAACCTGTTGAAATAATCATGGTTTAGTATTTTTGGACATATGTGTGCTAGTATTGTTTTGTATTTTATTAGTGCTCCATTTTATTTTTATGGGATGTAATTTTTAAGATGTGAAACAAATTGTGTTTACTTGTATACCTTAGGCCTACAGGAATATTGTTTAAGAGTTTATTTTGGAATATTTCTTTAAATGTTGATAGCATAATACAGTATATTTAGCCAAACATTTTGTTTTTGGAATTTAGAAAATTATATTTAAAGTTAACTTAACTGTATTTCCGAGAAAAAAATTTGTTCAATATTTCAAGCTATTTTCCAGCATCGCAAGATAGGAATTAATTGTATAAATGTTGTCTATGTACAAAGTTGTTATTGTGTAAAGCTTAGACAACCAATTATTTGCAAACATGACATAATGGTTAGTAAAATCACTCAATTAATTATTTTTTTTTACTCTCGGATGAGTCTCTATACAAGTAAGAAGTTGGATGTGATGATATTAAAAAAACAGAAAAAAAACTAACTGGCCATTAATCATGATTTTTTACAATTAAGGCTTTGCCATATGATACTTTTTACACACACACACATATAATTGTGTGATTGTGTGATTATTGTGGTGATTTCCCCTATAGGCCTGCAACTTTTTGTAAAGAAAACCTATTCAATTTATTTGTTTGTATTCTCCAATAACTTGGGAATGTGTCCACAAATATATTTCTAAACTATGAATGCAAATAACAATTTATAAAATTATTGAATATATATGACTATATTTGTGTAAATTTTCCCACTGCTATGTTCAGAATTGACTAGGAATATTGAACAGATTTAAGTGCTTTATGAATATCAAGTCAAGTTTTCATTTAATATATATTTCAATGTATATTTCATACTGTTGCTGTTGATTTGAAAATTACATCCCTTAGACTTAAAACTTTGTAAGACCTAAAACGTCGAGTAGAGTAAAGATAAATTAGTTTTGATAGCAAAATGTATTATGGTCAGAGCCTAATTGATTCTTTAAAATATGATGATTCAAAACTGCCATAAGTTAAAAGTCTATACTAAAGAGAATCTAACTACCCTCAAACAATATCTTAGCTATTGACACTAAATATTGACACAGTTATGAGCTAAATATATATTATAAGAATAGACAATTTGAAATAGTTACAGGCAATAACGTTGCTTTAAAAAAGTGTAAAACGTGCCAAATTTTTAAATGCAATTTAATAGTCTATGGCTCTCAAAAACATAAACATTACTAAGAATTACACTTAAACCACAATAATTATTAAACAATAAGTACTGTCAACTAAATTTATAATTCCTAAGTTACAAAACAACTTTATGCCAAATGTTAAATGTCAGAGATAGTAGGGACAGGAAGTTGATAAGACGAGTTGTGGTTTTCATGAAACATTTTTATCAGGCACTTGGTTTTCTATTATCATATGAATGTTGGTGAAAATATTCTACATGACCTAAACATGTTTTTGTTGGGCAGAGGCGAGCTAGAAAAAGGTAACCTAAAAACTGTAGAGATATTTTAGTTTACACCCAAAGTGATTATAAAAATATAGAATTCTTGTTGTCAGTCAAAAGTTGGCTGTACAATTCAATATGTAGCCTATTTTCCCATTACCATTGTATAGCTATTGCAGTTACTGAGACAATTTAACATAGGCCTACTGATGCAAAAACGTAGGATCGTAAAATCTATGTTACAGTTAAAAATAGTAGGTACTGTAATCCTAAATAAAGTCTACCAATTAATAAATTTCCTATTACCTCGAAAATAATTTAAAATAAGACAATGCAAAATGCAACACAAAATACAATAAATGTTATTTTTGAAATGCAGAAAATCACTCAGAAGCAAAGGGCATAATAACTCCAAGTAACTATATGTCTATTTTCATTTTATGAGTCAATTTACAAATGTAACATTCCATTTGATCAGTCCAGATTTCTAAGATGACGAACGGCGAAAATAAGCTAAATTTTTCCTTAGAACTAAAACAACTAGTTTTATTATTTTTAAAAGTATGTTCAGAGAATATAAAGTTTTTGCCACTGAAGCCGTAACATGTGATTCGGTAACTGTAAGTGATATATGACAGCTGTTTCCAACTTAACTCTGAACAACTTTTAAAACCTGATACTTGATGTCAGTGAGAATGTTTTTCGTTCCAACAATTTATTGTAAAGTTGTGGCTCACGTTTGAAAAACTCCCATCTTCAAGTAAAAAGTTATGAGTGATGGTAGATCTATTGCAAAGTTAAATAAAATGTCTGTTCTTGATAAAAAAAATCTAGTATAAAAGCATACTTAGGAATTGAACTCTTTGTTCAGTATTTTTTAAATAAATACAGCTTAGTAAAAGATTTAAATGAATGCAGTTTCAAATTAAATAGGATTGTTACTTTTCTTACATTTTTCATCAGAAATTAACTATATGCATCTTGAAGTTTACAAAGCATGGATACATTTTGTAACGTTTTTAAGCAGATTTGAAATATTTTTTAGTATTAGAGTTTTAGATTCCTGTCAGATGCTCCTGATTTTCCTGAATGTTTCTGTCAGATTAATTTTGTAGTTCTTTAATGTGCATACAATTATTTTGGTTTGAAATATTTTAAGGAAATAACTCATAATTTATTCTTTTTATAAAATTCCAAGCTGTAATTTACGGTATTATCAAGATGCAGAATACACATTTTTTTTAAGTGGCAGTAACATTTCATATAATCGGAAAACTAATCTTTATAATTTTGCCTACATATAACTGTTAGGTACCTCTTAAAATTATTCTAGCAACCTTGATGGTATTTTCCAAAAGGGATTATTAAAAAAGTGTACATAATTAGAGAAATGCTGTAACACCATGAACAAAATAATGTTTCCCTTTAAAACATGTAAAATACTCTACGGGGTCTATATTTGACAATTTTAAACAAATAAAAAGGTTTTACAAGTGCTCCGCTCTACAAAACCAGGATTTGAGAAGTCTGGACGCATCTGAGGCCAAAAACGTCTGTATAAACAATCTATGTTACTCACACTAAAAGAGCACTTAGACAAACATAAATAGTGTTATTGCCCATTCATTTTTAGTGTTCAATCACAAACCTTTACAACACTTTGCAGTTCAGTTAAATAAAAAAAAGTCTTTTAAAAAGTAAATGTACCCTAAATGATCAATCACCGTCACATTTACGCATAACCAAAATATGTTAAATCTTAACACATAAATGCCTGCAGAGGAATGCACTTACCTGTTTTACACTTTGTTAGCTCCTCCTAAAATTTGCACTTTTTGCACAGTATTCACTGGGCTATGGTTTAGTTTTAGAAGTTTCAAATCCCTGCATTGCTTTGATATTTAAAACTCAAAAGCTTCTTAATCAAAATTCATTTTTAATTTTACTCCATAGTTTTATTTATAATCATTACATTAGCCAAAACACCCCATCTTCGTCTTGATAAGCTTGTTTACAGCAAAAGAACAATATTCAATATATTTTCTCTCTTGCTACTGGCCACTATTCTAATATGTCACTTTATATTGAGAATGTGCATCCATTTATAATTCAGTTTTTTATCATACCGTATTAAATCTTTGGAATTTTTGAATGGTTGTAATAATGACTGTTAGTTATATATTTTGTGACCTAAATAGAGCCTTTTTACTCCAAATATTTTACAAAATTTCAGGTTACATGTATTCTTTTATCTCAAGATTATTTAAAACTTAACAATTAAATATACTGAATAACTGTGTAAAAAACTTTCTATAAACTGTCGTGGAAATAAAAAATTATAAAACAGCAAAACCTTGTTATTGCTTGTACATTTATTTGAGCCAGTTATCTACAATCGTATTAAAAGTTTATTGGTTTCTCCAAAAATATCATTTACTTTTTCAAATCACCAACACAGTGGCGCAGCGACAGTGGAGTAATTGGAGCAATCGCTCCAGGGCAGAAGGCTCTGGGGGGCGCCACTTCTGGTACACTCGTACAACCGACTTAAACATTGATTATATGCCTGAGTATCCAAAGATTTATTGAGAACTTGCCTGTAGAAAATCAGGATTAGCTTTAGTAATAATAAGTTTGGTGTTGTGTGCAATTATCATGATACCATCATGACTATAATTTCAATTTGTGATCAAGGGAGAATTATGATCATCTCTCACTGGCACGTCAAACTCACGTAATCATACGGACAACATCCGTGATATGGAAAATTCTTGAACATCTCCCATGAAGGCAAAAATATCATCATTATATCCCGCTATCGTGGTGAAAGACATTTCTATCGTCTCGTGGGATCGCGGCATTGTCTTGATCATCCTTTCGAATGCCATCAACTCCTTCATTCTCGAAACAACAACAACAACAACGGTGCTGTTGGGAACATCCTTGAAGACATCATCATTGTCCCCTGTGACAGCAGCTGAGTTTTTAACGTCCTATGCAACCGACACCGTTATTTACCCCGTGATTACGGCAAAATTATTGCTTAGCAACCAATAACCTAAAACCAAAGTTTTCCATTTTTAAGTCTATTAAAACAATAATAAACTGACTTTAAAAACAACAGATACATTCCTTTAAGAAGGTATACATGTATAAAACAAGGTGAGGTTCGATGTGTAGAGGGGGTGGCTTGAGCCATTTCTGCTCCAGGGCGCCCCCCCCCCCCAATTTCGCTGAAAATTGTAATACTAGTAATAAATAGTAGTAATGCAATTTATTTGCATTCTCTAGTGGGTGTATATCTCACACAATTGTTATTGGCTGCCATTTGTTTACTCTAAAGTTATAATTGGTAAGTGAATGTTTGGGAGCTATTACCTAAAATTGTTGTGATTTAGTGGCTCAATCTGTAGGGAAACAGGCTGTATAACAAAAGCAACCATGACTTGGATTTGTTTCACCACTTAAAATTGATCTGTGCAGTTCATCTTGCACTTTACTAGCTCACCCCTTACATTGATATGTTCTCTGCTCAGACTTGAGGTCCATGGAGATGGAGATGCTAGGTTGACAAACTTTTAAAATAACTAAATTACCCTGATATGTTGAGTATTTTGTCATAAATAAAATTCTTGGATCTGTTCAATGAAATGCCCACTACTATTAAAATTTGGCCTATGCAAATGAAAGTAATGTAAGGATATAGTAAATTTGAATACATGGAATGAACACAAATGAATAGTTTGATTTGTAACATCTTGTAAGGAAATTAACCTAACCTAATCTGACATGTGCCTCTTTCTGTTAATCATGCACAGTAAGCTGTGGTCGGCATGTTTGTCACCAGAGTCTGCCCCTTCCCTATCCAACAAGAACTTAACCTAACCATCATAACCTAATTTAAGATAACCTAATCTGTCATTACTTAGCGTAACTTAACCTAACATATTCCGACTTGACAAAAACTAACCCAACCTAACCTCATTCATATCACCATCATTTGTATAGGGCAAATGTTGATAGTGGTGATTATCTTCTTGAAAAGGCCCCTAGAATGAAGGATCTTTACAAAACTGATGCCAAAAGTACTTGTGAGAAACAAATATCGTTGAAAAGTTTTTCTTTGTGTTACAATTTGGCCCTGTAGTGTACTGTAGCACCTCAGCCCCTAGTGTAGTAATGTGTTTGTATGTTGTACAGCCCAGTTTTACGGAGAGTGGAGCCACCTCCCCTACCCAGCAGGTATTGTAACCCTTCACCTTTAGCATGCGACATGTAGCTCTCATATTGCGTACTTCTCATATGTGTACTGTGCTATAGTGTCTGATATTTATTGAGATAACATTGCATTTGCAGTAGTATGGATATTATGTCTTAGAACTCTTACAATGTGTATCTTTGACATATAGCAAAGTGTAACTTTGCTTGATTAACAACTTGAATGTAAGTTGTTAACAACCAAAAATTGTTAACTCTTGATGACATTGTATTACTCGAACAATGTGTAACTCTTGACATTGTATTATTGCAACAATGTGTAACTCTTGACATTGTATTACTAAAACAACCTGTAACTCATGACATTGTATTATTCCAACAATGTGTAACTCTTGACATTGTATTACTGCAACAATGTGTAACTCTTGACATTGTATTACTCAAACAACCTGTAACTCATGACATTGTATTATTCCAACAATGTGTAACTCTTGACATTGTATTACTCAAACAACCTGTAACTCATGGCATTGTATTATTCCAACAATGTGTAACTCTTGACATTGTATTACTCAAACAACCTGTAACTCATGACATTGTATTATTCCAACAATGTGTAACTCTTGACATTGTATTACTCCAACAATGTGTAACTCTTGACATTGTATTTCTCAAACAACCTGTAACTCATGACATTGTATTATTCCAACAATGTGTAACTCGTGACATTGTATTACTCCAACAATGTATTACTCTTGACATTGTATTACTCCAAAAATGTGTAACTCTTGACATTGTATTACTCCAACAATGTGTAACTCTTGACATTGTATTACTCCAACAATGTGTAACTCTTGACATTGTATTACTCCAACAATTGGGAGCGAGCTGGCCTAGTGGTAGAGTGCGGGGCTTCGGTTCCCAAGGTCCCAAATTCAAATCCTGCCAATCACCAATGGATTTTATCCATGTGATAATGCCACAAACCACTAGTACTAGCCTGAAGTAATGTGTAAAACAGTTCCGGGCTAGAACTAGTGGCCTAGGATGTGAAGGTGGGACTAAAAAAAGCTCTAACAATGTGTAACTCTTGACATTGTATTACTCCAACAATGCGTAACTCTTTCAATTTGTAGCTTGAACTACAATACTTTTGACATTGAATAGTTCTTTCATCAGTTCCAACAAAATACATACTGTAAATGTCCCCCAAAACTTTCACTCAATGAATTGTGAAATTTACATTTTGACAAACTTACAAACTATCAGATGTTAGGTTAGGAAGCAATCTCGACAGGTAAAACCATCGGTCGACCTTGTTTTGTAGATTTACAAATTTAAAGAATATCTTGTCAGACAAATCGTCACTATCACATGTCAGAAGTATGCATGTCGAGGTAGTGCATGTCATGGCATGTTCGAGCACGTCTGATCGCGTGCAGGACCAACATCGCATGTTTTCTCTGCTAACCGTATTTTACAGTTACTATTAATACCAGGCTGTGGTTTATCAGACAGAAGCCTGCTCTTGGATTGGTTTCATCCTTGTTTCTCTTGCTTTAACCGTGTTTGGTTTAATTGCAGTGGTGGTTATTTATGAAGCAATGGCAATGTTGTAAGTAGATATGTGGTTTATGAGATTTTCTTGATATTTAGCTGGTGTTTAAACGCTTCAATGTGACATTGTAAAATATAATACAGCTGCATTTTTATAAAGTACCTATATAAAAATATGTTGTAAAAATTTCAGTTAACACCGTATAAATAATTTCATTTCCAAAATATATTTTATCCTGTCTCTTTTAATCAAGTTACTTTTCTGGGACCAATAATTTTATTTAGGATTTAATATTTTATAATGTAGAATCATTTTTATAAAAAAAAATATTTCTGCTATAAAACACTACAATAATAAACATTTTATAAACATACTATGACAACATAACAGGTAAATAAATGGGGAAAAAATAAGTCAAAGATGCAAATATTGTTTAGTCTAGTTTAAAAACTAGTTAGTGCTTAATATAATGTCATAAACTATACTTTTTCAACCCCAATTACATGTTTATTTAAAGTTTTAAAGAAGACATGTAAAGGCAGTGCTTTTTCTTTGTGTTGGCTTGATTGTTCTTAAACTGTATTTACAAAAGCGCTTATCTTATCTATTTCTGACCTAGACCTTCTATTATAGCTTTCACCCACAGTTTTATCTGTTACACTACATGGCTGTCAAATAAATAACTTTGACTGTTCGAAAACATACAATGGTAATACACAATCTGGGTATTTAAGGAATGTTCAATTTATGTTCACTACATTCAATTAAAATTTATCTATATGACAAAATATAGCCATGTATCTGGGTGGCTCTAGGGCTCAGATAGTACCTAATCAGACCACAGAGTAGATCAGAAAAGCAGTTACTGTTTGATGGCTCGAAATTAAACCACCTGTCCTTGAGCCTGGCTATAGAAACAGTTGATCTTAGTGGGTAACAAATCTACACACTTACCATTTTATGCTCTTATCTAGAATAAAATATGTGAAATTTTGTTTTAATCTTAATTTAATGATAATAATAACTAACCTAAAATTGATTATTAGTTTTAGAACACATATTGCAAATCATGAATCAAATAAAACATTTATATTTTGTTAGGCTATATACATATGGGCTACTGATGTGACTGAGATATTAAATTCTCCTGAGTTGGCAAGCTTGACGGGATCAGCTGATGATGTTTATTGTTACAGACCGGCCAGGGTCTGGGTATCATGATCATTGAGGGGAAACATGCTGAAGTTGGGCAAGGAATATTCATTTCTGACATCCAAGAAGGCAGCGCAGCAGAGCAGGTGAATATTCTATTTTCATCATCGAAACTCATCTCAAAATTGGCCCGTAACTTTTCTAACAGCTAATCTATGAAACAGAATCATATCAACAGGTAACAACTTGTACAATAAGGTCAATCTGTAAAATGTAGATTATGAGAACACTTTATACAATAGACTCTAGAAAAAAAGTACAGTAGAACCTTGATAACTAGACTCTCATAGGGATTATAGAATAAGACTTGTTATCAAGGTTGACTTCTTATCGAGGTTTGCAATAACATGTGATTGGGGGTAAAATAATTTCAAGGGGATTTACCCTTGTGACTTGTTTTAGAGGGTCTTGTTATGGTTCTACTGTATTAAAATCACAGGTATTAAGTGTTCATAGTTTACAAATTTACTTACTCTGATATATTTTTTGTAAGAAGAAAATAGGCAAGGTTTCTTTAAAGGAACTGAAATTAATTTCAATATTTCTCACAGGATATAGGTAGCTTTTCAAATCCTCTTTAATAGTTTTTACCTAGACAGTAAAATAACTTATTCTCCTCTTTTTATAATGGATTTTTGTAACAGTTTCTCACTTTAGTTATAATGGTTTTGTCATTTTTATTTCAGGCTGGGTTGGTAGTTGGAGACATGATTCTTGCAGTCAACAAAGATACCCTATTAGGCTCTAACTATGATGCAGTGAGTACCAACTTTACATCAATATATTTTTAAATAACATATTGCATAACCTTTTAGTGTGATATAAGGCAAAACACTATTTTTTTATGTAATAGCATCGAGTATACACCTATAAAAGGATTACAGATAATGCTAATACTTTAGATGTTACCGATTTTGGCCAATGTAGTTTGGGCCGCTGACGCTTGGGCCGTTGTAGTCGATGGTTAGTGCACTTGGTTGAGCCCCTTAAATAGTTTAGTATTCAAAATGCATTATAAAATAACAAAACCATGACCAAACAAACAAATTTGATTTAAAAAAATACATTGTACAACTTATAAACGCAATATTAAAAAAAAAACAAAGAAACAAACTTACCGAAATGCCCGAGAAGGCGTAGTTTGGGCCACTGACCCTACACTGCAACAGTCTTGTTCGGGTAACGGTAGCCCCCATTTAGTGTGCCTACTCTAGTACACAGAAGTAAACTCAATAGTAACATATTAGTCCTGAAATTATGTATTTCGTGGCAAATTTGCTTATACCAGCAAATCAAATATGAGTGTGGAAATTTTAGCATGGATTATGACTTACAATGTGGCGTAAAATGTTATGAATGATACCTAAAATCGTGGATCAAAAAATTAAATATACAGTAGACCCCTTCTTAACTGACACTAACGGACCTAGGTTGGATAACTCAAAAGGTCGGTTAAAACGGGCAGCCCCTAAAAACTTGAAAAAATGAAGTGCCATTCATTTGGAATTATATAATTATTATTCTTAAGTTGTGGGTGTATTATTTACAAAATAAACTACACTTATCTCCATTATTTCTTAAGTATTGACAATAGAAAAGTTAGGAATAAACCCAAAACGCGGTAAAGTCATTTACTTACGCTGGTATTTTACTTTCAGTGGAATAAATTATAGTCGTGTAGGGGTGTGCGAAGCAGCAAAAAATTTTCAATTCGAAGCAACGATTCGATTCAAAAGATTTTCGATTCGATTCGATGCAACTCGATTCGAAGCAATACGGTATTTTTCTATTCATAATTGTCAATTGAGTGGATTAACAATAATTAAAATGTATCACATTTGTGTAATACAAATTTTTGTTGATGTGGTATTAGGCATATTTCATACTTTACATATGAATTTTAGGTGAAAAAATATTTATTTTCAATCATATGTATTAGAATAACTGCTGGAAATACCAGTGAGCTGCTTTACTTGCCTATTTCATAATTTTTACTTGAATTGGCTCAACTGCAAGAAAGAAGAAAATATTTTTTTTATCAAGACATTCATTCTCATTTTAATAACTGTTTAAATAACTAAATAGGTGCCGGTAGCTAAATTACAACAAATTTGAATGGAACTTAATATAAAAAGACCATTAAGAAATAAATTTACATATCACAAGTTTAGGGCCTGTGGACCGGCTTCAGGACTGCAAGCAAGAAGAAAATAAAAATAATATGTTTCCACCATGCAATATGTATCATTCATTCCCTGCCTCCTAACCTCCTTAGTATAATAACCTCACACTTACATTATTTGTTACATCATCATAAATAAAGAATTATTATTGGCATCAGTAGGCCTACAGCTTTACCTAGGCATTATTTTTATAGGGCCTAAAATAGTAATAGGCTAGAAGCAACATGTCAAGTGGAGAACTCATTGAAGAAAAGATATTGTGTAAACTAATTTCCTATAAAACTCAAAAACAGTAAATAACATACAAACATTGTTTATGGTATAATTAATAAGGACTAAAAAATGCATATCATGTCATACAGTAGTATAGACCTACTGCAAGAGATTAAAATCCTAAAACAACTGATTTTGATAGCTAATGAATGAAAAGAATTAAAAATCCATAAAATAAAGCCAAACAATATCACAACTAATTAGGTACCCGAAAAGTAACTCTTAAATAATATATAGAAGATTAAAATAATATTAAATCAAGAGACAAGAAAGTTAAATGCTATCTTCTAGCCTAGTGCCCTTGGCAACACAGGTCAATGTTTTTAAACTACCCTCAATGTTTTTGGAACAGCAGGGCCTTTTTCTCTTAAGGAAGGGTAGTAGTATGTCAACAAAAACAATGAATCAGTCTCACCAGCCAGGCCCGGGCAACGATGTGTGAATTCAAGGTCATAGACCCTCCCCCTCCCCTCTTACACCACCCGGTTGCTACCCAGTTGCTTCAATTGTTGACAAAATGCAAGTGATGAAACAAGGGAGTAGAGACAAAGAAATATATTTCTTTATTCAAAAACACAAAACTGTTAGAGATTATTTTCAAAGAAATTAATTCAATGTAATTTGTGAGTTGTAAATATTGTATTGGATCTTAGAAATATATTTTTTTAACCCCATCGAACCAAGATACAGATCTGTTCACTATATCAGATATTTCTTTTGTTTATAATTTATTATGTAAAATAATAAAATATATTTTTAATTAGGTATTGAATAAACAATAAATGATTATACTAGTATGTCTGGATAAATAGTCTTTCTATTCTTTTGACTTTGTTTTCTTTGCACTGTTAGTGTTGCGTCACGGCTTTTGTCTTGTTACTCTTATCAGTAGACGACTAGACCTGGCTCTGGCTAGTGGCAGTGCGGCAATTGCTCTGTTGTGTCTTTATTCTTAAAGGTCGTGAGCCAACTTAATTTTTAATTCTCATTTGAACATTTTAATTCCTCTGTAATAATAGATATAATAATATAAGAGTGTTTCTTTGGAAATAAATTATTCTTTTTTTTTTCTTTTGCCCCAACAAAAATTCGGGGACGGGGACCGGCAGCACCTAACAAAAATACCAAATGAATCAGTCTATAACATTAATTTTACTAGTTAAGTATTAAGTAACAATTTTTCAGACTTATTTTTAAAATGATTTTGGAGTAACCTACCTTGTTTTGGCTAGGTTCACAGTAGTAAAATATTTCCCACACTGCTTACATCAAGACAAAAAACAAACCTCTAATCATTTGCAATGTCAAAACAAAAAAATATAAAACAATTAAAGCTATATTTAATGCAAAGAATGTATTAAATAAGAACGCCTTCGTAAAGGAAACGCAACAGCAACGCGCTCCTGTATTGCGGGTATTGCATTGACTTTCTGCAGGCGTTTTTCGTATATGGATACTGACTCCCTCGTGAATCGAATCGTTTTTTGACCACCACTGAATCGAATCGCGATTCGATGCATCGAATCGAATCGAATCGAAATTTCGATGCATCGCACACCCCTAGTCGTAGGCAAGAGTCAATGAAAATTCCCATTTTAATACACGCAACCATTTCGTTACGAGACAGGGTTTATTTATATCCTCTCACTGGAGGCGTGAGTCACAAAAACAATCTTGACCTTGGAATCAAGATTGATTACAAACGATGATGTTAAACTGGCAATATGCAATATTTTTTTAAGGAAAAATACGAAATAATTTATTCTTAGCAACATCTTAGAGTTAGACGTATTGTTCCCATGGCGGAGGATGTATTCCCATTGTACCGGCAATGCCAAGATTCATAGAAAGCGGCGGTCAAACCGAACTGCTCTCAAAACAAGGTCGGTTAAAACTAACTATAATATTTTACGAGCGAGGTCAGATAATCCGATTATCGGTTAGTGCTGGTTAATTAAGGTTGGTGAAGAGGTTGTGCACTGTAGTACAAACCCACAAACTCAGCTTGTGTGTTGGTCCAAGTTTTAGAAATGCTGGGTGAAGCAAATTGTGTTCTTTTATTACTCTTGTACATAACATTACATACATAACATTAGTGGTACATAACACCAGAACATCCCAATTTAACTTTTTGAAGAAAATTACAGTTCATTTTGAAGAAAATTTAAGAAATTCATATAAATGGTTCTTACACATTTGGCTGGGCTGTAGGCTAGCGCAAAGCTAGCGCTCTGGTAATTAGGTATGCATAAATCACATGTCGTGGTCTTATTCTTAATATCTGCAAACAGTGCAAGATCCACACTGTGGGTTTGCAGACTCCTTTACTTTTGTTCGGGTCGGGTAGAACATTTTTATCCTTTAGGTTTTAGGGAAATCGTAAACAATCACGGCCATCACCGATACGTCATCATTGTCTCCTCCGATAGCGACAAAACCAAGAACATTACCTGTGACTGCATTAAAATTGTCTATTTTTGCTTGCACATCTTTGTGTTCTCTTTCTGTGATAGCGGGAAAAAAACCTAGGCTCAAAAATTGAGTCGCTTGCACACCTCTCTGGTAAATGACCCGATCAGAGCCTGGGCCCAAAATTATTTCTGGCCTAAACCAACCCCTCAGGTCAACTGCTGTTTCGACCCAACCCAAAAATATCTAGATTTCTAGACCAAAACGGCAAAGGCTATTCTTTTACTATAGAGGGTACCTACTGCTGCAGTTTAGCACCAAGGTCACAGCAGGTAATAATAACACTGGTGTGAAACTTTACGAGGTCACAGACAAATCCAGACTGTCGAGTTATCAAGTTTGGAGGACTTTTAAATTAAATTTGATATATTAATTACAATTTATTCTTTAACCATATTTTCTTTTACATCTTGATTGATGTTTGTAGGCTGCAGCGCTTCTCAAGAAGACAGAAGGTGTAGTGACTCTAGTTGTATGCAACCCCAACAAACCTAAAGCTGAAGAGAAGACGGACGCTGCTGCACCGAGAAGTCCGACTCCACAACCACCTAAGGAACCAGAGAAACCAAGTCAGTATTACCGACTGCATGATATATAAATATAACCTATGGGGGCCGTGTCATAGGAAATGGTTGGCACTCGTTGTTATTTTAAAAAAGAAAGTAGGCCTAATTTATACGAAAGTGAAAATACAGTAGAGTCCCGTTAGTCCGAAATGGTTGGGACCGGGCCCATTTCGGATTACCGAATATTTCGGATTAAACGTTTTTTTGTTTTTTTTATTTTGAAAAAAAAAATTTTATTTTTTGAAATTTTTTTCGTCTTAGGACGCAGGCACGAGCCCGGGATTGTTTTTCAAATTACTTAAGGCTAGACCTAGTAGGCTGCAGCATTATCACTTAAGTTATAAAATCCATTTGTGATTTGGCGGACGAAAATGAAAAATGTTACAGTAATAACAAAAATGGTCAAATATTTAATAATACACTCTACAAAAGAGTCTATCTCGCCCACCCGCTAAAGAATACGTTGACAAGGTACAGCTAACTGTGTTAAAAAGTTTAATAAAAAAACAAAAAAAAATTCAAAAAATTTCAAAAAAATTTTGAAAATTTTCAAAAAAACTTCAAAATATTTCAAAAAAATTTCGAAAAATTTCAAAAAAGTTTCAAAATTTAAATTTTTTTTATGAAATTTTTTTTTAAATATACTTTTTTGGTTTCGGATTAAGCGGACTTTCGGATTACCGAAGTTCGGATTATCGGGACTCCACTGTATGTAGGCTGTGGTACACCGGGATCAGAATAATTGGTTTGTTGAAGTGAACTAAAGTTTACACGTTGCAGATTACAGTTCAGTTCAGTTTTAGCGAATTTCCCATATAGGGAATAAGCTATTACCGTAGTACTCATGGTAAGACCTGGATGCGGGACCGATTTTTTTTTCGTTTTGAGGTCCCTAGAGCACGTCCGTTAGCATGTGTCCGTTAGAACGATAACTCGAGCAAAAATGATCCGATTTTGATGAAATTTGGTACAAACGTGTAAACCTATGTTTATTCGAAAGAGTTCGCGATCCAGCATGATCGGACCATGGGAACGGTGGTTTACGGGGGGTTTTATGGGGTAAAAATAGTTTTTCCCATTTTTGACCCAAAAAACATAAAATTTAGCAATTTAGCAAATTCTTAAAACTGTTGTAGTTTGCTTGTTTATAAACATATCTTGATCAAATTTGGAAAATGTTTTTATTTCTTACTAACTATTAGCATTTTACAAAAAAAAAAAACGTTTTACCCTCCCTGATGCATCAAACCTAAGTACTTGTTAAACTAATTCTATTTAAATCGAGGATAAATGTTATATTTTTAAGTAGACATTTCAGTGTAAATCCATTCAGTCAAATGGAAATTCGCTTAGTCTGCAGGTTTGCTGCGGCGGGGGTATTTTAAATCTTGTGATCACTACTTCTGGCATATCATACAGTTTTTGTTTTTTGCTGTTATTTAAAAATATATTTATGGCAATTGTATGGTATATTTTTACAAATTTTAATTGCACTAAAAATATTAAGTTGCATTGTTTTGCTAACATTTTTTTCTATCTCATACAGTAAAAAAAAACACAATGAGAATAATAAAACTAGCAAAATACTTGATACTAATAATTGTGACAATGATGGCATAAAACAGTCCAGGTTTTCATAAAATTAATGTTAGGCCTAGCCTATTTTTAGACATGTTTCATTTTAAAAATACAGTATAAAATTATCGAGTAGTAGTAGCTGACATGGCTGTATTATAGGTGGCAGGTTGTATAGTTTACTCAATGGTGAATGTTTGAGTCGTTAGTCCCCACCTGTGATAATTAGCGTCTGTATGTCTTGTGAACATTAGATTGCTCACTGCTGTTTAAAACAGTACAGAATACCGTGAATAGCAATTAGTAACTTCACTTATAAATCATCTGAAAGTAATGTTCATCAAATTTACATTACAAAATGGTTGTGTTGTTGTATTACATTTGAAAACTTACATCAATATATTAAGTGTATAGTACCAGTTTTCAACCATATGGAATTCAAATCTCACACTCTCAGTCTACAGTCACATGATGACTGGTCGGGAACCTACATCAGCGGCAAAACATGCGAGATCGAAATACAAATGAAAGCAAGAGAAATAATGAGAACATGGACAGGGGTTTGGTTTTCATCATCAGCTTTGAGTAGTTATCAGAAAATTCAAATCAAACAAATTAAGAATTATATGAGATAAAATCTCTGTTTGACATTAGACTATGAATGTATTTGCTTTGTTAGATGTGTTGTTGAAGTTTTTCAACTGTGTGATTTTGATAAAACATATTTTTGCCTGTATCATAACTCAAAAGATTAAACTAAGTACATTAATAAAAAATAATATATTAGACTATAGCAGAATGTGAATGTCATACATTCTAATGCATGAAGAAACAGTACCATCCTTCCTATAACAAAAATATAATTAAATAGAAGCATGTGACTAAGCCAATCCAAGACATAAAACAAGTTTCATTATAGTCTACCCTCAAAATGTTAATCATATGTGTATGAACTATGAAGTTTTGATATAAACATGCATTATTGAACATCAACGCTTTATGCTTTGCTCAAGTTCTTATTTTGGCATTTTCTGTTGTTTTCTTTGCAATCATTGCTTAACCGGGATCTTCTCTACAATCATCTTGCATGGATTTGTGAGTATGCTTTCATTTGCTTCATCATTGCGAGTCGTGTTTGTGAATGAATACCTGAGCAAATTATGTTTAAGAATCATTATAATATTTTGTTAGGGTTTGTTTTTATAGTGCATGACTTCAACTTTGTGTTGAAATATCTAAAAACCGTTAGGTTATTTCATGTTAGAATGTTCATAATTTTTTACTTGTTATTGTAGCATTCTTAGCATTTACTTGTATAACTTCTTCTTTATAAGACATGTTTTTCCTTGCTGAGTATTTTAAGAAGTAGTATTAGAAAGGTAATAAAACCTTTTGGGAAATAAAGAATGCATAAACACAAGTTCAGCTTTGATAACAAGCCTCTTTTCGTCGGCAATATCTTAACCTATTAAAATTAATGATGCAAAGCCAATCACTCTTGTTCTGTTAACTAGAAACAGGTGATAGTTTAAAGGCCACAACGTGGCAACCTTTTTATACACCAGTGCCATAAACCTGGCGCTACTTCGACGTGAATTAACAATTTATATTTAATTGATTCTTATAATTTTGTAAGATTTTTTATTCTTTCCTAAAATTTTTACACTGGATTATCTGTAAGTTAAATTAGAACTGCATTCATCCATTTGGTTCAGATTTTGAAAGGCTTTTGTGTATAGCTTTAGGGACAGGTACAAAATCAATAAATGCATTACCAGTTACCAGTTACTAAACATTTGGGGTTTGATCCTTCCATTTTTAATTATTAAATAAAAATTGGAAAGAAAGCCTTACATCCAAAATAAAAAAAAAATTTTCTTATGTATTGAGGGTTGCCTAAGACTTTTATTTAGAAAGGCAGGAAACCACTTTTAAAATTCTTTTAGTCTTGTCAATTTTCCCGTCAAACAACACTTGTTTGGAGAAGGAAGGATTTACCCATCAATTTCATTCAAACTGAAGTCGTAGTGAATGTTCAACAAAACTTCCCCAACTTTGACAATCGGAATCCTGTGACTACCCTGTTTGTAGTAGCTTTTGAATAAAACAAGTGTGTGTCATTTAATCAAATAGCCAAGACAAAACATAACCAAATGTAAACTAACTTAAAATAAACATGCTCTTTCCATTTTTGTGATTAATAGCTGTTTTAAATCAAGGTAAAGTAAAAAGTCAACCTGTTTAGTTTAGCACTGTTATTCCTTTGGTATTGAGATTTGTCAGTGTTGGTGGCAAGAATGTTTAATAATTGATATTTGTTTGGCAGGACTGACTGACCCCGCCACCCTGGCAGAGGAGCCGCCAGCAGACCCAGCTACTGCCCCCGTCACCCCTGGAAAGGAGAGCACCATAGAGATCAACAAGGACAAAATGGGACTGGGGCTGAGCATAGTGGGCGGTTCCGACACATTGCTGGTGAGTTTAAGTTTCCTCTGTTGGCAAGTCATACTGGCCACATTGTCACCATAAAGAGTTTTGAATTGTTTAATACAACCTGTCTTGACTGACCACCTTTTTGTGAATGAGGAACAACCATAGTCATAGTGGGATAAGTTTTATTATTAATCCTTTTCACTTGCTTGAGAAGTACTGGCGGAGTAATTGATGTAAAATATGTGTGATTGTAACATTTGTTTATGCCACCTATGTGGCTACTGTACTACCGTTGTCTGCTGTCTCTGCTTATCAACTGAGCAGCCATCGATACATATTCCCACTAGCTCAGAATTAATTAAGTGTAAAAAAAGTGCTTTTTATTTTGTTCATGGAGACCAGACTAGTCGCCACATAGGTGTGGGGACGAGCTAGAATAGATGTGGGGAAATGAAGAACACGGTGCGGGTGATATATTTATACAAAATTGCCGCACATGAAGCTTGTTGGGACACCCTCATTTACAGACTATCCTTGTATTTCACTATACAATAAACTGGATACGTATATATAGTGATCCAACTGTTCACTATACGATCACAACTGTTTAAGCCAACCTCGATTACACTGTACCTTATCGTAAGGACATTTTCCAGGGAGTTATCATCATTCACGAGGTGTATCCTGACGGAGCTGCAGCCAAGGATGGTAGACTCAAGCCTGGAGACCAGATACTGGAAGTGACAAGTGAAGATTTCCGCAGCATCACCCACAGCAAGGCCCTCGCTGCTCTTAGACAAACACCTGCCAAGGTAGATGCTAAGATTGTCCACCATACACTAAAACTCTTGGGAGGGTTGCAGATGTCAAAGATATGACAATGATATCACCAAAGGGTATTGGAAAAGTAATTTTTTTAATGGGCAGACAAGTTACAGATTTTTCTTGGATGTCAGTGTTTATGGGAAAGTTACAAAGGGCATATCAACTTATCAAACTTAGTTGGATCAACTATCTTACCTCATAAAAAGGACCGATAGGCCATAGAACACACTGAAAACAAATAGAGTCGGACAAAATGGCTATCACCATCTGTCTTTGTCTATTACTTTTGTGTATACCTACGACTTTGGCATTTTTATGTTTTTGTAAGGGAACGGCCCACACCCTGGTCTTGTTGCTATTTTTTACCTTTGGCCTTTTCCTAATGGCATTTGCGTCTAGAAACGATCTCAGTTGGAATCAAACCAATGAACTTGTTGTGTTAGAAATAGCCACTTGGCTTCCCAGACAAATAAAATCAGTCACTCTTCCAAGGCCCACTAATAGACAAAGTATTTAAAATGGGCTCACTTAATTCAATGGTATATTACAGATCCAACTTGCAACTCAAGTCGCGCTTAACAATTAATTAGCATGGGGGAGGGATCACAAAACCATGTAAAAGTTACCGATTAGAGATTTCACATTCTGAATTTTTCTTAGGAATTATTACTGTTTTTATATTTTCACCCTGATCTGAAACCAGTTTTGTTCATTTATTACTTTTTTAGGTTAAAATGGTGGTGTTCAGAGATGAAGCTGTAGTCAGTGGCAAGGAGGAAGAACTGATGGACATTATGGAGATCGAACTGACGAAGAAACCGGGTAAAGGTCTCGGTCTGAGCATCGTTGGTAGAAAAAACGGCCCTGGGATATTTATTTCTGATGTTGTAAGTATATTGTTAGCATTTAGTTTGGTTATATATTTTACCTACGACCGTTTTTTAAACTACGGGTAGCCTTTTTAATTCAGTTCTTAGAATTGAAAAGATTCGCTTAACATGATAGCTCACATTCCCGATTAACATATAGGCATATTCTTATCTCAAAAATCCTTTCGGGCTACGCCCCAGTGGCTCTGTAGTTCCCCATGTTAACCTTATGAGTATTCATATTTAAAGGGAATTAAAGAATTTATTCAGCTGTTTCAACTAAAAAAGTTGGTTCTATGATATACAAAAGCATTAAAAAGTTATAAGATTTGCCAACAGGGTGCAACACTAGAATTTTTTTAGGTGAAGTGGTAGAACATTAGGTCTACATATAATGGATGTGTAATACCATTAGTATGTACCGTCAATTTAAAGAAGCAAATTTTATCAAACTTTGTCCTCCCCCATTGCAAATTCAAAGCTTGAGTATAACTGAAATAAGTATTTAAAACTTATATGCCAACCCCGTACGAAGGAAGGGTACTCTCCTAGTGTATTATACAACGAGTGAGTGGTTGGGACAATGAGTTGTTGCATCACTATCAGCGGCAATGAGAGGTTATAAACGAAAACGTAACTTCTCCTAGACATTATGAGTAGTCTGATTTTTAGTAACTAAAAAGCTTTCGTAGGTGAAGTAGTGTATCCAACTCTCGTAATTAGCCTAAAAGACATGAGTAGAAGTTTTAAAGGCACTTGCCAAGGCTCGGACATTAAATTTTCTACTTGTGTCTTAAAGACTATCTTTACGCGATTGTTGTGTAAACTACTATTGAGAATTATCGCACAGTATCCCTTTTATCACATGTTTCTAAAGTCTTCAAAAACTAGCCTGTGACTAAAATTTGAACTTTCCTAGAAACCAGTAAGATTTTTACAAACGAACGAGTTCGTGACAGAAAGTTTTTTAAGCTCAATGAAAGAGTTATTAGATTTTATTGGTGAGGTTTCAGGGGCTTTAGATGGATCACAAACCACAATGGGATTGTTAAATTCCTTTGATCTGCCTTCTAAGGTATTTGACTGTGTCAACTCTGATATCCTTCTTAAAAAGCTAAGTATTTTTACATTTCTGGTAAATCATAGTAGTTAAAATCATCCCTTCAAACCATTTTCAAAGGACCGTAATTTTAAAGAGTTATGTAAAATCAATATCAGAATAGGAAGAGGTTGGGAGAGGGTACACCTTATGTATATTTGGTTACTGAAAGTTTTCATGGCTTCATAGGACCACAGATGGGTTGTACTTCTCACACGCATGGTTGTTGGCAGGTCCAGGGTAGCACGGCTGGTACTGATGGTAGACTGATGAAAGGAGATCAAATACTCTCAGTGAACGGACAAGACCTTAAGAATTCAACACAGGAGGAAGCAGCCGCAGTGTTGAAAACAGCAGCTGGCAAAGTCACCATGAAATTAGGCAGATTAAAAGCCAGGTAGGTCTAGTTACTCGTGTAAATCCAAAATCCATCAATCTTTACACCTAGGTAAACAATTACTTGATCAATGTCAAAGACCCATGATTGACAGGGATTTTATCTCAGATGAGTCATCATAAAAAGTAATAGTAGTTAGCATAATGGTAAAGTTTTCTTGATTTGTCACTCAACAAATTTAAAAAATAACTTATAGGCTAATAGATATTTATGAAAAGACTTATTTGATTTTTTAAGGCTAAGAGTTGCTCTGTTGTAACTATCTATTTTGTCCATAAATATAATGTTTATTACATATTTGTAATTTTTTATTAGCCTACACCTATTATGTTTTGATTCGTAACTTTTCCCCTCACTTCTTTTGCATGTTTCAAAATACACTTGTTGTATTCTTGGGCTTTAAGGTTTTTACACTTTTGCATCGTATGTAGTTAATTTAGGCCTACCTTAGAACTTGAAATGCTTTATTTAAATGCTTTATTTAGAGTAGTGATGAGTTTACTGTTATTCTTAAATGCAGATTGACCATTTTCTCTTATTGAAGGTCTGTCAGCCCAATTATGATTTAACATTATTATGATTATGATTAAACATTATTACAAAAGTTTTCATTTTTTTACACCCAAATAACACTTAACTTCGGCCTTATTTGTGTTCACTTGTATTATTTTTCCCTGATATGTCCACTTCTTGAGAAATTTCAATTTGTGTCAAGTGGTTCTTGACCCACAAATTTTGTTCAGCGTAAAATAAATTCAAAGAGAAGAAATTGTTTTTTTTCAGTTTCACATTAAGTTAGACCTGTTCTGTAACCCTGAACGTCCTCAGCAGAAATTGTTTTTATTGTATTAGTCTAAGCTTTTTGTACTTTGTTGTATAGTAGACTTGTAATTACCTAGGCCGGGTTTTGAGCGTCCTCCACCCGTCGTAACTAACGGAGTATCAGAGATCATCGATAGTTCAACTTCTTCCTCAGGATTACGAAGACATTTTGCTACTTTTTCGCTCCGCAAAAAAAAATCAAAGTGATTTTTTGTGGAAAGTGTCAAAACAGTATTTTTCTTGTTACCTGTGATTTTAGAACATTTGGTTTCATTGTAAGTTAGGATTTCTAAAACAGTGGTATCACACTTACTCAGGTTTATATCAGTTTTTTTTTACTTGTTGATGGTTTGTACTGTTTCTAGACTGTTATCTAGCTTTGTTTGCAACAGTTGTCCCTGTTTCCATATTTGAGAACCTAGTATCGTAACCCCGATATGTACGGGACTAGCTTGTAATATGGACTTGGCTTAATCTGGACACGATTTGAGAGCAGTTTTTAAATATTTTACAAAGTTAGGATGTGCTATTGTAAACTACACAGCTACTGCACATTAATGTCAGCATATAGCTAGTATTTCGATTTTTAATTTAGAACACGATATTCAAGTTTTGTTGCAAATATTGTTTTATTATAAAACCCTGTTTTTGTTCACATTACAATTATTTAAAACCTAATATGCATTTGCACCAAACCACATTACTTTGAATCCAAATTAGTCTGGATTAAGAGAGTTTACTATATTTTAAAGTTGCTCAAAGTAACTTTAAATTTCTTTCTTCAATGTACTTTATTTATTAGTTTTTACGCTAAACAAAGTACTGGCTCTAAAATGTATTAGGCCTACCATTTAAAATGAGTTATTGTTCATTCATAAAAAAGCACAACAACATAACGCTAAACAAATTTGTAATAATAATAGGCCTAATGATTTTGTATATCTGTTCGGTCACAAATTGTTACTTTATTTATTAAGCATACCGTATATTTTCTTTTGTTTTCTTTTGATTCCATTCCATTAATGTTGTTTTCAAACTCCTAGTAAAATAAATAAACAAAATATCTTTTTCAGTCTTCAGTTTTTTTTTAAGTTTTTTTTTTATTTTATCGTTATGAACCATGTTTATTTTGTATTTTATTCCAATGTTTTCAATATTCAAACCAAATCCTGAATCAAATTGTTTTCATACGTTGAGTGGTAGTTTTCAATACTTTTTTAGTTTACTTGTATTTATTGGCTGATCCAACGAATTTGTTAGCTTTATTTTGCATTGTAAGATTTTTGTGATTTAATTGTACAGTAAATGTTATACTTTGTTCAGCTTTCGGTTGTATGTATTTAATTTTACAGTCAATGAGATGTAAGATTAGATTACTTGTGTTATCACAAAATAAGAACCTCAATTATTTAGGTGCATGTATACCTAGCGGTGGGTTATTATTTCTTGTTAGTAAAATTTCAGTGTCAAAAAGTACCAATAATCTAGGAAACTTTCAAGTTTTTAATCCATACTGATTCTATGCTGATTGGATCTAGGAAAATATAAAATAAAATTTTATACCTATATTTTATGCTGTTGCAAAGTATTTTAATGTTTTTTTTTATGTTTTTAACTGTTCTTTTTTTAATAAAATTTTATTAGGTACATATAATTTGATAAGAGAAAAACTGTATTTGGGGACAAAAAATGTAAAGAATATTCAACTAAATTGAAACCTATTCTAGTTTCTAAAGAAAGCAATATTTTTTCACTAATAACTATGGATTTATTTAACTCATTCAAATTACCCTGGATCGAGGTTTTAAAGTATTCCTACGCTTCTAAGTTCTAACAAAAAGTAATGTATGAGTTTTGGGTAGTATTGCATATTAATTTTTTTACATTGGTATATTTTTCTGTAATAGATTTTATCTTCTATTACTAATCCCTGTGAGTAGTCAAAATTTTTGAAGAGGGAGTGAAACAATTTACAAGATTAATTACATTCTTCCAATCGTTGCTCTGGGATAATGTTTCTGTCAAAGAGGTGAATAAAAAGTTTGTAGGGTACAGTTAGTGTTTGATTCGTTTTTAGCATAAAACATACAACATGGTTTTATGAGTACTTTTCCACATTTCATGATTTACCTTTTTACTTTTACTATTTATTTTGTAAAAAAACTGTTAAAATGTACATATTTTAGTTAATGATTTTTGTAAATTTTATTATTGTACACAGAGTATATATTACAAGTTGAATATGCATATTCCATTTCATAAATATAAATGCAAGAATTTCTCATGAGTATGTTGAACGTTAGACAATAATGAAGTACCGATATCTGTGATTTTACTTTAAATAAAGTAAAAATTAAAAAGTTTTTGCCTTTTTTTTACAACATTTACTTAGCATTACTTAGTGCACAGCAAAGGAAAAGAAAATTTCAAAAATGTTTTAGCATGTTTTTAAATTTTTTTTAAAAACAACTGTATTCAATATTCAAATTTTACTCCACTGGAAAAGAGATCAAGTTACTGTATATACAAATATGTTTTCCATTGTATTTAAATTTAAAATAAAAAAAATAACGGAGCAGTTTCTATAATTATAAAATATAATACGATTGGAGTTCATAATTTCCTCTCATATTGTATTATTGTATAGTTGAAAATTTTTAAGAAAATATTTTTCTAAAAAATAATAGTCAAAATATTGTCATAATTTAGTTAAGTATAAAATACTCTATCAAACATATTTGCACATTGAGTATTCTTCGATAACAAGATTTTCCTTTTATGTCAAGAAAAATATTTTAACAATAATTTTATTCATTTTATTATTCCAAATTGTAATCTTAGTCAGTCGTTTAATTTTAATGTATGAGTTATTTTATATCAACTGACATTATACCATCATGCTGATTCTGATTGTTTCCAATGCTCTCAAACCTGTAGGAAACAAGCAACAAAATAAACCAAGGTAAGCAACTGTGAGAAAAAAGTGAATGTTGTAGATTTGTGTTTAAATTTGAATGTTGTCTTACCTCTTTATGATATTTATACTGAACGATAAGTATATTTTATTTTATTTTGTGTTTGTTGCAAAGAATAATAGCATTCAACTTTGAAGGAGTTTTTTCTTTTTTCTAAGGCTGATACAGTAGATCCTTGATAACAAGACTCTCATGGGGATTATAAAATAAGTCTGGTTATCAAGGTCAACTTCTTATTAAGGTTTTCAATAATATGTATTTAGAGGTAAAATAAATTCGAGGGGATTTGAAAAATACACTTGTTATCAAGAGGGACTTGTTATCGAGGGTCTTCTTATCGAGGTTCCACTGTAGTTCATCCGACTTGCCTGATTAAGGTTAATTCAAACGCTAATAGGTACACAATAAAGTAACATAACATAACACTAATATCAATGTTGCAATGAAAATTCCTTCAGATTCAGATAAATCAAAATAAACTCCAACCCTGTGAATCAAAATGAAACGGAAGATGATTCCAAGATGTAGTAGATAGAGTAGTTGTACACCATTCCACGTTCAATTATGTCCTGAAGTCATGTATTTTAAATCAAATGGTAGGTTCTGCGGCACTTCTCAAAATATCAGGACCTGCAAAACGTGTCTTATGCTCTTATTTTTTATCTTGCTTTTTTAACACTATGCAAATTTTTACTATACCAAAGTCAATCTATTAAATACATTAAGTCAGAGGTGGCTCCAGAGGGTAGGCCCAGGCCTACCCAAAATTTTGGTAGATATTTCAAAATTATAAAGAAATTTAATTATATGAACATAAAGGGAAAGCATTAAAACTAAATATTTTACATTTAAATTTTAAAATTCCCCCTTTTTGCGGGGAAAGCCCTTTAAACCTCTTGTCCCCCAATCAAAAATTTTTCTTGGTCCTTGTCAGGTATACCCAAAAAAAAATATTACTGGAGCCGCCCCTGCATAAAGTTACGAAATAAGTAGAATTCTGCATAGCGCCTTGTCCTGAGGACAGTTGACGCGACCTCTATGATGATTTTAGTAATGTATAGCAGGACTATTTCTCAGTACTGTGTTGAATGTGTATTGGAATATAAATATGGCTTCTGAAACCAATGTTTAAAATGTTGTTCAACAATAATTAAGGAGGAAAATTAACCCTGCAAATACCACTTTCAAGGTAACAAATCATTACATTATTCCCCTTAATACAATAATATTACAACCAAACTGATAAAATCTGTTTCAGTGCACACTCTTGTATTAACAGTACATTAAGTGTAATTTTTTTTTTTATAAATATTAAGGACTTTATTTGCATTAGATTTGTTTGCATGGTTGTTATGTGTATGATCTAATTGGATGTATTTAACCGGTTTGTCAGAGAAAGAGTTCTATATAAAATAATAGTGGTTTAGTTACCTTTACTTTCGTCCCAGTTCAATAAAAAGTTGTAATATCTACAACCATGGTTTTGACGCTAGTTGCCTCCTGGTCACGTAATTAGCAAGTCGAGAAGTAACTACGTGACCATGACGTAACTAGCGTCGAAACCATGGCTGTAGATATTACAACTTTATATTGAACTGGGACGAAAGGAAAGGTAACCAAACCACTATTATTTTATATTTGTCTTACCAGTTCAGGGGCAAGCCACAACAATGAGTGAAAGAGTTCTATTATTTTATATCATAAATAAACTGCCACAGACTTATTATTTTGTATGCTTAAAAAACCCTATATTAACAAAGTTCTACAGGTTCAGAGTCATTGTTTGGCTGAAATCTAGTAGTATTTACAGTAGAACCTCTTTAATCCGAAATAATTGGGACCGGGGGTAGTTCGGACTATTGAATAGTTCGGATTACAGAACATATTGTTGTTTTTACATAACAATTGCTAGGGAAAAGTGAAAAATTCTTTATAAAAGGAAAATACAGTGTTTATTTAATACAGTAGTAGACATAGGGAATAAACAGTACGGTACATTACAATAGAAACAATTACGGTGCGTATACCAATAAATACAGTATCCAATGAATAACTACTGTTCTGTGTATAGAGTACAGCAATGAGGCGTTCGGATTAGTGGACGTTCGAATTACAGGGGTTCGGATTAAAGAGGGTCTACTGTACTCTTTTAACAATTAAGAATCTAAGGAAGCAGAGAGTATTCTACAACAGTTTCCTGGCTAACCAACCTTAACCTATTGATATTAAATTTAAATTATTTTTAATCGGTAAACAATGGTAACAATTTGTAATAGTTAATGGAGAGGGGTAAGTATGTAATTTTTAACTATTCAAATATTGTATGGTCATTGGTTATTCATTTTAATGCTTTAAACAATAACCCCTGTATTATGTTTGTGTAATGTTTATACAGTGGTGTAGTTGTATAAATTTACCAGTGTGGAAATGCTCACCAAGGCCGCAGAAAAATAGGGCCACTACACCTCTGTGCCTACATTAGACGAATCTGTTACAGAATCTGCTGAAACTCAAGCATTTTCTTTATTCACATTTTAATGCTTCACTATTGATCAACAAATTTAAATCTTACCCTGATATTCCAAATACTGTCAGTTCTCTATCCGTTATTCACTGTCGCACTCTTCTATTTTCTTAAGTCTATTCCACGTTCACCGTGCAGTGCGAACACTGTGTACCGGGGTGGTGTCGTCCTGTAATCCAGCTACTATGAGGTCACGAATTGTGGATATTTATAGGCATGCACTGTGGATGCGATACTCCCTGGTGTGGATTAACGTCCGCACAAGTGAGTACTACGACTATCCGCAGTACTATCCTGATAATTAGACCAATTCTTATATACCAATGCAAAAATGTGGTTCGAATTCCACTATAAACTGTAGGTCCCTTAGTTGCCATTAGCTGTATGGGCTATTAATTAACAGCTGTGTTTAAGGAATGTCGGCCTTAGTCACTAACAAGACTACAAGATCATGCCACTCATCCTACACTCCATCTCCATTCATACTTGGCTTAAAATACCTACTTTTTATGGTCGCCATTTAATAAGAAAGTATTAAAGTATTTCTGTGAATTATGATCTCCATCAAGATCCGATCGTGACTGAGAGAGCTAGTTCTAATCTGAAAACAGCAAAACATTCTTTACTTTGTCCATTAATATTCTACCCAATTCTCACTCCTATGCAACAATTAGTCTTGTCATAGTAGTTAAAAATGACGTGAAGAAAAATCTTCAAGTATGATTTTTGTTCTGTGATTGGATTTCTGTAGTCTTAGTGGCTACTGATAAAAGGGAACGAACTAAAGTACTTGGGTGTAGAAAATGTGGGTAAGGGATAGAGGAAGTTTGAAGGCGGTTGTGAACATTTCCTTGATATAGATGATGTTTTGGATAGTGTAGGCTGGTCGAGGTTGTTTTTTTGTTGGGTTTGAGGCAGAGTTTTGCACGGGGACTGTGGTATACTAAACCAGGGATGTCAAACTGATAGCTGACATCTCCATCATGGGCGCCCACAGGATTTGGAACAGGGGGGTACAATATATAGGTCTAACGAACATCTGGGGGGTCAGGGACTTCTCCGGGAAAATTTATGAAAATATAGTGTTTTAAAACATCTTTTTACGCTATTTGGTAACACATAGAATCAACCAAAACAAATAGTATATTGTGCATCAAGGAGGGTAACTCATAGTTTTTATTCCAATATTAAAAATGAATAAGCTATTTGAAGTTATTTTTTGTATAATTTAAAGAGAAATAAATTTACACTTGAATAAAGCCTAGATAACAACCAAGAATGTTGATGTTTTGTTTTCATCAGAGTTTTATTAAAGTAGGTATAAAAGAATGGTACATTTGTGAGTCAACTACTTATTTGATTTAAACATCAATTTAAAACATTGTAAGAAATGGCCATTATGAACGTACTTTTATACATTTCTTAAAACCCAAGTGATTACAGAACATTATGGGTATTA